ATGACGTATAATACCTGACTCAAAGGCTTCAAATGTGGTCTCGTAGAGCATACGAATCTGTGGGTCCATAGCCTGTTTCTGATATTAGCATTTCCTTCGGGAAATGTACGAAGAAAGCACCTACTCTGGCTATGTCCGCGGTGAGACTGAAAAATGAGGTATCAAACAGCGAGACATCCTCGTTCAGAAAGTGTCCACCTTGGCTGTGTATCTACAAAGATCAGAGTTATTAGGACGTGAAATTCGCAATCAACCGATAAGAGTAGAACATGGTTGACATAGTACGAGGCCTAGCATACGGTACCAAGGTTTTCTGGTCGAGGATGATAGAATGCATCTCCATTGTACCTGGTCGGAGGCACCTTGGACCAAGTATTTCGAGCTTCCGCACACAACTCCCACAGGCGTTCAGGAGTGCTGGCATCACCAGGGAAGCGGCAGGCCATGCCAATGATGGCAATTGGCTGTGTTTTAGGTGTGGACGACATGGCGATGATTCTTTTGTGAAAATGAATTCAGAGCGTGCCGAATGATAATCTGGATCGACTGCCAAGTAACGGGACCATACCTACCTATATATACAAGATCACAACCTGGGTCACAACTCGCCATCCTCGCTCTTCTCGTTATCTATAGCATCTTGAAGCCTTTACTACGTGGCAAAAGTATCGTAATTGATCATCAATCCTTCATTGATGATGACGAGCTTATTACGACGTTGCACCTCCGTTGGCCCTTCTCATGCAGAGTCGGAGGCGGTTCGGCTTCCACCCCTGGTCGGCCGATTCCCCTGGTCGGTCCCTTGGGGTTACTCTGTATGTAGGCGGAGCCGCTACTTACATAAAGGTCAAGGACGAAATTTAAACCTTAATTAAAATAGAACTAAAGAAGAAAAATATCCCATTGCTCTTTTTACGTCGAAGAATATCAAGACGTACATATAAAGTTTACTTATACAACAATGAATGATGGTCCAAAAACTTTTATATACACATACATTTCCATCTAATAGAGAAGATTTATAACTTGAGCCTCAATTGCTCTATTAAACTTGAGCCTTGGTAATATTTCCTTTTCTGTAAGCTTCTAGCCCAAAATATGATAGGTAGGAGCCGGCAGCAGGGGTGGTAGAAAAGACCGCAAGCAGCACTATACAGGTCCACGTAATAAAGGCAAAGAATCCTTTACTGGGTGTGCGTATGAGTCGTAAGATTGCCTGTGGTTTTTATCTCTGGTCCCGTTTGCATTGCAACGTCTAGCGGCAGGACGAGCTATGAAACACCAGATGGCATTTACTTTGACACATGAACAAGGATATCGGATGAAACTAATCCGACCGGAGTAAAAATAAAAAAAAATAAAAAAAAAAAAAAACGTGAAAATCCTACTAGCACGTGCATACGGAATTATACGATTGGATAATTTTCCTCATATCGTAATAGTGGCCGAATATTGTCCATATCCTAGATACCAGATCTATTTTAAGTTGCAATCTCTGTCGGGGATATTTGATAAGCAGTCCTAAATATCATTTATCAAGAATTATAGGCAGGGATAATTTATGATATTGTCGTCCATGTATGCAGTTATATACTAGTAGAGAAGTCAAAGTTTCTATAGGACGAGAATTCGGTGCAACTATCCTTTCTTGGCAAGTATTATCTGTATCACGTAATTTGTATTATAATAATTCTCCATATTTCGAGTTTCGCACATGAAATCACATTTTGATGATAATTTCGCCGCCAGCTACCATAAACAACATGCGATAGTGTCTGTCTTGTTCTCAAGTGTTGTATAGGAATCGGCTACTGCGCTGATAGCATGATATATATATTGAATCACCTTTGATCATTCCTGATTCCAAATTGTACCAATTAGACTGAAACTTACATAAATTATGCATTCTACGTAGCGTTAGTAATTCATAGATAATACGAATCACATATCGGTCCTTTAGTGATTGGCTCGAAATATATGGTAACCCGAACACTATACTAATTAAATGTAGTACAAAGTTTTCAACCTATATCCAAGACATCCTTCCTCTCTTGTATGGTAGACTATTTCCGCTGGGTCCTGTAAATGTACTTTACATCATTGACCGTTTGAAATTTGGGCAAATTTAGGTCAAAAAAGAAATCCCAAACGGTGTATTGATGAAGATTTATGCTGTTGCATTTATTCCTAGCCTCATAAAGTACCTGCTTAAATCTGTGTCCGAATCAGGTTAGCTGCAGCTGAAGACCGCTAATAGCAAAATTATGTCGCTCCTACAGTACTACAGTTATCTCGCTTTACCAAAAAAAATTATTCGGGTGCAACGTCGGCTGAAGATTCTAAGTCTATTATTTCCGAATTAGGGTCTTGCGAGCCTAGCACCTATACATTTCCTAAACGCCTAATACATTTTATCACGATTAAAGGAAGGAGATTAAAGATGCCATGCTGGTGGATTAATCTAGGCACCGGGGCTGTGTTATCTAAATGTGGAGAGAGCTGTATCCATCGTTCCTTCGGCTCAAACCGTCGTCTCACATCATCATCTTGAACATGTCAATAACATCCGAACGACTGATTAAACTAAGTAAATTGGGGCATTAGAACACCTTGTCTGCCTATCACTTGCAATCTAACCAATAATGCACAATGGTCGGGCGTTTGAGCACGTTTAATGGTGAGCTCATACTGCGCGGTTAATTTTATCTGCAGATACGAATACTCAGTCATCATAGTGCTGTCCATTATCGTTACTATTTATCCGAGTGATATCATATTTACTCACGTTAGCCTCTCTAGAAACGCATTCACGCCCATTTGCATCCTTCAATGACGAATCCATATTGCAGTCAACGCATATGCATAATTGAAATCGGCGTTATCAGTCACACCGCGGCATAGAGTATATGCTGCTGTTCTTTGCCGTACCCTCAACTCCAGAATGTCACTCTACTTCTCCGTAATTCCACGAAGGATTCCCCGGCTGTGTCATAATTCCAGCATGCATGCAAGACGTGCGCTTACTTCGCATTATACGCGGAAGTCTCCTCTAGCGGCGGCTCGGCTCGCCTCGCCTCGCCTGCCTGTCCCCCCACTTTTTGGCCCTAGGGTTCTAGAAAGGGAGCAGAAACCCTCCTCGGTGTCAGTTTTCATTTAGCCAACGTTTACTGCCCTATATGGACAGACCAGCATGCCACATGTCACACGCCGCCAACAAGATTAAGCGCCACAGATAAGGCAATGGCTGGCTCCATCCTCATTGCTGTTTAACAAATATTACATATTCCTATTCTCCAGCGGATACCGTGGAACCGATTTGAATCCTTATGTCTATTTTAGAAGAGCCTTCTTACAGTCGTATCGTATCGTAAATGCCAAACAGATACGGAGTAGTAACTAGCAGATCGACGTTGCACACGGAGTTCACTATTTACTATGGGCACATCTCATGTGATCTGCGGCCTTCTTTTGGAAATTGATAGGGTACATGTAGTTGCAAAGATACCTAACCTAGCTACTGCGTTAGATGCCATCTGAGATCTAGCAGGGGTCTAATACTTGTCGCTGCCTAACTGTAACTTGAAACCGCTTTCCAGGTTGAAGAGTTGGTATATTGTACTCCCTCGAAATATTGAACTGTGGGTTCTGACGAAAATCCCTCCACAATTCACCGCAATCGGTCAAAATATGACCAAGGATAGCTATACTAAGCTACTGGAGGGGGAAAGATCTACAATCCTTTTTTTTTTTTTAGCGACCCATGGTACTCACACTCCCCAATTGTCTATTTGGTACGCAATCCGTGACTTGGCAGCTGCTTTATAATCAGATGCTCGGAAGTGAAGAGGTAGAGGTTCATTAGCATATTCGTCTAAAGAAATAAATAATGAATTATTGGATGACTTATCCAAATATGGAAAGCGATCTAGGGGAGCATTGGATTGGCAGCATTGCCAAGCATTGGCGCTTTCAAGATCAGATGAGTACCGATGCCAGTATAGATGAATAGGAAAATAATTCTTTAAACGCTTAGAAGATGCTGAATAGGTATTCTCTTCAAGTGTGTAAATCTATATACTTGTACGTTATGATAGCGCATATACCAAGTAAGTCGCTGTACGTACAATGTATCTTGTATTACAATGCCATTCTAGATGCTTATGCTTCTTAGGACACGTGTTTCTTGTGCCATCCCTGCAGATCAGATTTAGATGTAATCTAAAATTATTGCACACCACACCATGTAAAGTGTGGGTGGCCACCCATGATTACTCTTGTATCATCAGATCCGATTATGATTATAGATTATCGGAGAAACAGTGAGATGAGGCGATAGTGTTGAACTGCATATGTGTACAAGTACATTGTGACTCGACCCTATAGTCGAGGATGTATGGTAGGCCAGCATGGTAACAAGAAAAAGTCTTTTCTGTATTATGTAGATATAAGCAAAGGTTTGTGATCTGATTTGCGAATGGCAGTAGCATGTTTGTTTCTTCCTAAAATACTAGCATTTTCCTATCTTTTGCTGTATTACACCAAATCCAAATTGTCGCTGCTTTACCCTATACAACCACTGGTGTTAATATATTATAATCTAAATGTTCCTATAGGAGCCTCTTATTGCTTTAATGAAATTGAATCATGATAGTAAAAGGATAGTCGTGATAATGATACAAAGGTAGAAGCCACAGTTCTTAATTTACGCTGGCGTCTTCGAATATGCCCAGCCTTAGAGGAGATACAAACTCAGGCATGCATGTTATTTCATCACCTAAAAAAATAACTCAGTCCGCCAAAAAGATATCAAGTGGGTCATTTTGGTTTTATCTCTATCAGGATAATTATTATAGCGCATAAGAAATACATGCGCATACATGCGCGCAGCATCTTGGCGTCTTACTTGTTACTATCTGAGGCAAATGGAAGTACTGAAGGCCGATTTGCACTTAGCGCGGGTGTAGCCTTATAATTGGATATAAGTCGCACACTTTGTGGAAACCAGGGTGGCCGAGTGGTCTAAGGCGATGGTTTTAAGTTATCTATTTCTTAAACACCATTATCGAGAGATGCCAGGGTTCGAACCCCTGTCCTGGTAGCACTTTTCTTTTTTTGTCCTTGTCTAAAACAGCAGCACTGCATCAAGACGACGTTGCAATAAAGATTATGTACCGAATACTTTTATTTTCCTCATCTGGATTGACGTGCATATCGGGCGCCCTAGTGCTGCGCCGACGGTGCTTAAAATATTCTTGCAAATACCCGCAGTATCCCTCTTTTTTTTTTTTTTTTTTTTTTCTCGCCACGCATTGTTTCTGTCACTGCGCATCTCCCTCCATCCCTGTTACTTTACCACCATAGATATGTTGCTCCACGTGCAATACCCCATTCTTTTCAAGATTTTGTTTTTCTGTAAATTTATTTCTCATTTATTTCTCATTTATTTCTCTTAATCATATTCTCTATACCCATTATTTCCTTTTTTCGGATATCTTTTTTTACGAAAAGCCAAGGATAAAAGAACAAACAAAATCAGTCATCTATCTGCATGCGACGAACTAGTCAGCCTTGGCCGATAGTTGCTTATAGAATTGGCATCTCGATATTAAAAGATGCATAGCTCTACTGCATCACAAATTCATTCCAGTGGGCTAATTAAGCAGTGGAAACCGAAATAGGTATATTGTAAACATTGCTTCTATTCGCAGACTTGATGTTAATTATCTTGTCGCAAATACCTCTACTTGTGTACTTGTACTGCTTTGCATATAAATATGTATCCAGTGACAACGGAAGACAGCATGCTTGGTTGACACCTTGAACCTTTTATTCCACCTATACATATACATAGTATTTGCATAAAATGCCAAATAACCCTCCATTTACTGCCCAACCGAGAACTTTCACGGTATAACCATAATGGAATGGCCGAGGATAGTTAGTACCACATAAAACATGCACATAAGTTCTGGTATCTACACTCACACACCCCCCTTGACTCGTTAACTTTTCAGTCTGTTTTTAAAAGAGTTCAGTGACATACTTGAACAAATGCCGAGCCAAGGTGCCACAAAATGAACTGCCGGCATGAATTGAGAAGGATGCTATGAGGCCAAGGTTATTAATCGATCTGGATGGCTAACCTAGTCTTGGTCACATTGAGATGGAGCTCTAGAAATAGAACAGCCTTTGCTATCATGCTTCGATGGCATGTCGTCCACGAGAGGAGCTTGCCAGTTATGGGAGTGTGGCACTGACGTTTCCAAGGATAAAGCCGAACGCAGCTGCCAGGGAATGGGAGCCGAATTCGGCTGGGGCGTCGATGACATCTAGAGTTGGTCATTGAGGTTAACAAGATGCTTGTTTGTTTATTTGTTTGTTTTATTATCAACGCTCACTAAGTAAGCTAGTTACATAAATCCACATCTGGGCAATAAGACGGTAGGAGCCAGTTTCTGTCTTTTCCGTCTCCACCTAGACTTATTCTTTTGAGACCGGCCTGGCTGGACAGCAAGCTTATCAACCAATAGCCGGAGGTGTTGACCCCTGTTGGCTACGTTTCTCGTGACAAAGGAAAGATTGTTCTTACAGCGGTATAATAGCTACCGCTGCAGGGCCAGGGCCTTGAGCATGGTGTCTTTACAAGTCGAGGCTTGCTTATTGGTTGTGTCTCTCGCGGGAAAAAGGTAAGCTAAAAGAAGTGCCCTGGCCGGATTTAAGCCGACTACCTTATGCGATGAACACGTATAAAGCCTGCCAGACGGTTAGCCAATGCGTCACAGGGGAAGCAAGATGCTTGTTAGTGGGGATGTTGCCTTTGCATAATGTAGCATATCACAAGAGCATATAAGATGAAGAAATCGGAGTCTCCGGTCAGATGTAGCGTTGTAATATAGTTAACTATGCCGCTTGCAAGACAATTCAGTGACCAGTCATAGTTATAAGCTTAAGTTACTACTCTATTGAAGAAGTAACCTTAAAAAAAAAGAGAAACATGGTGTTTTAAAGGAATGAAATAAATGCTAGATGCAGTGATAGGACATAGGGATAGAACGATAGGTATCTGTAACTATTTATCCCTTAGTGGATTGCTGTTTCTCTCTGACCGCCATCAGAGGTACTCGGGCTATATTTCATTGATGTTTGATCTAAATTCCATTTCTTGACAAAATTGAACATTTATGAAAGTAGTCCCGTTGCGACAGGCTACCCATAATATCATTCTAGTCGGTAATCAGGAATAGAGGTTACTCCCTGGCCATCTGCCAGGGGCTCAATACTGAACTTAATTATGGGGTAGGTGATATTTCGCATCTATACCCTGGCCAGGGCCGGTAGTAGTATTTATCAATCCTCGGCTGTTTCAAATGCTTTCACCCCACGTACCTGAGCACCCTCGATCTTGATGTCGTACTCGGTAGCAGGGCACCTCGGCAGGCCCGCGGGAGGCATACCATGCCCCCTTGACCGTTTTGAATTGACGTTTCTTTCATGCTCTTTCAATGCTGACGTTCTGAATACATCGTACCACTTCAAACTCTCTAAATGAATAATATCCGGGGTAGCATGCATGCTGGTATGATGCACCCTTAGTCGCATCTTCAGCTGTTATCTCTGCTCTTTTCATAGAATGAGTAAAACATAAAAAAGTTTAAGGATATGATCTTTGCAAAGAAATTTGCCTTCATAGCGACCTATTAGCTCAATTTCTGTCTAATCAGAGTTTGGAGGTATTGTCTAGAGGTAAGCATTTAAGACCACCATAAAGGCGATTAGTATACCAAGACACGCATGAATGCGACAACTATGAATGTGAAATTTGTGGACTAGAATTCACGGAGTCGTAAAGATTATATGGAGATGAGAGTTTGATCGGTAGGAAAGTTGTGCATGGTGATAAAGTGAGTATTGAAGTTTGGTTTTTCTCCACCGTTTGAGAGGCTCTGCCATATGAGAACATAATATCTATTTATTGACAGATTCCGCAGCTATAAATGTTGATGAGGCCAGGAACAACCTTAACAATAGTATCCTTCGCTTTTTGAGTCTTTTTGTGGCAAGGGTTGGAAGTTTCATCGAGCTATAGGTGGGAGATTGGCTGCTCCTTCCCATAGGATTGTGAAGAAAGCTTCACAGTTTAATGAGAGGGCCACAACGGATTCAAAAGTGGAACAGAGTTGAGGCGAAATCGAATAATTCACATCGATTGGGAGCTTCAAACATGGTGATGAAGGTAGGATCAGAAGCCTCAAAGTGCGAGAAGCTTGTTGACCAATGTCCAATGTCTGGATTCAATCCAGGATATAGTGGTATTGAGAGAGCAGGGAAGGTTGTCATACCGTAATTATGGAAAATTTTAAATATAAATGGGCTTTTGCAATGCGTCAGTATTTGACTTTGTAGATAGTGTATGTAGCGAAGGTATATTCCAAAATAAAGCAAATACAGTTTGCCTAGGTATAAAGAATGAATGAAAGAAGTATTTGGTTGGCATTGGCTCACTTGTACGTTTACCTACATCCTGATTTTTTATTTATTTATGGGTCCTACACCGTTTCTGTTGCAACATTCTTCGGTTGCTGTTGGAAGATTAGTATCGTATCTTTGGTTTGGTTTGTTTAGTAGAGTAGTCTAACAAATTACATGGATGAAGTAAGGGGGCTTTAATGTCGATATAACCTGTTGGTTTAACCCCAAGGCTTTTATCTCGGCTATATAGATCTAATGGAGCTAGATAAGCCCAACGAATATATGATAGACGTGGCTTACCTATGCCTTTAGAAACTAGATAATGTGAGGCGTGTTGAGTGTGTGATATAAAAAGATCGAGCCCAAGAATACAGAATAACCACTAACTTAGCGATAAATAAGTCGACTTTGTTATAATATATTACTATCAGAGCTTATTCTACGACTAAAGGCTATTTTATCTTCCTTTTAGTATATATGCTCTCATTCACACATTGCAAGAAATATATGCGGTGCAGAAGTCTTGTGCTTCGTCAGCCCACCCAGATCCCTACTTCGAGTTTTCTGGTTCTTCATAACTGGCTATACAGGCTTGAAGTTTTGACTCCTGCCACTAGGTTGGCTTTGAATCGGTTGAGATCCGTGGCAATAGTAGCTCTATGGGTGGCCCAGGAGCAATCTCACATTCGATATTAGAGTGTTTACCTGCTACTCAGTTCCGCGTTCTTTGTCTTATCAACCAGCGCTTACGCAAATAACACGTCCAGGTCGCCCCGGTATAGGAGCGGTATCAACTTCTTTAAACCATTACGCATATGTGTACCTTTTCAACGGCGACCTATATTAATTGGCTGGCTTTATTGATACATCAGGCACTGTGAATCTCAACCTTCGGTCCTTGAATCGACACTAATCTCAACAAATCGCAGACATGTTCCCGCCCTGACCGTGTGCATATCAATTACATATGCAATATTTCCTCAGTCAAAAAATATGTAATTCTCATTTATTATTGGAGTGATTCGGCGTATGCATCATTATGCACCAGACGTACAAGCTGACGCTAGAGCTAAGCATCACATCACTAGAAAAGAGCCCACTGTAAATGTCATCTCACTCTAAGCGTGACACTTATTTCGCCTTGTTGCCTTCCACTGCAGACTCAGTTGCAACATAATGACTACAACACTGATTTATTTATTTTTCTATCCTAGTCTTCCAGGCTGGTGCTGTCAAGACGACTGACCAATGAGGGGCGGCGGCAGCGCTTCCGAGTTCCTCGCCTCTCTACTATGAGATGGTGGTTGCCTCAACACCAGAGCGGGGTAAATTCAAGGTGGCAAGGATATTTTTTTCTGGGGACTTGAGAATATCTGCTTAAAGGGAAGCAAGTGTCTCGCCCATTGGAAATATTTTCGCACATGATTATTTTGAGCTTAATTTGTTTTGCTGCTATTTGACAATACCAAGTGGCAGGAAATGGCGTACGTCTCCGTCTGCCGCGGGAATGGATGGTTGAAGATACGAATTGGGAACGAGGACAAGGAGATGGGCCAACATCTCTCTGCCTATTCATGACCCCAGGTGATTGTCCCTGGACGGCATCCCTGGCATTCCGAAGGGCAAATA